CAATGACAGTGAGTTAACCAATTTAGTGATAATTTTTCATCAGAAACACTAACCGTGTTATCAATTGGACCAAATTGACACAAAATTTAAAATTACAAGTCAAAATTGAGCTAATTAAAAGTGTAGTGACCAAAATAACACAAGGTAAAATGTAAGGACTATTAGTGTAATTTTTCCTATATTTATTTAACTCTTTTTCTTTTCTTTTTGTGTGGATGAGGGAGACTCAAACCCAAGTCAAAGGATCACAAATGAAGTAGAAAAACAAATTTCTGGTCAAGTATTGAGCTCTTTGTATTTGTTGTTTCTGCGATATTGTATGTTCTACTGTTATGGAACTATAGTTCAACTGAATTTGATGAACACGTCTATAAACTGAATTTTATGGAACTATAGTTCAATTGAATTTTACGGAATTTTATGGAACTATATTTCTTGTAACATTGTCAAAATATGCAAACTCCTTGCTAAGAAAACAACCATATTTCTGTGATATGGAATTGTTGTTGTTGACACGCGAATTGGCGCATGTTCATCCCACGTCGACTAAACAATGAATAATTCAATTCGTTCGTAGCCAATTTGCGATGACCCCACCACCCGTTGCCTTTCTCCTCTCTCCCCTATCGCCCCCGTCCCTCCACCATTGACCCCTCCCTTTCCCGCCACCCTCCACACTCGGCGAACTCTCCTCATCCCCTCGATCCCCTCTTCCCCCAACTCCCCCTTACAAGTTACGATTGGACTATCCATGCGAGTTCTATTTTTTTCATGTAAGCCCACATAATTATTCAACAAAATGCCAAGCAAACATAAATTTTATCAAAAAATCTATAAAACAAAATAACTTTACTAAAATTTTTACTGAATGCACATTTTGCCAAGCATGATTGGGTGTTCAAAAAATGAGCTCATAACACCAATATTTGAGAAACTAATCATGGTCAGCAACATGTCCTTTTGTAAGATTTTAGTAAAATTATGGATTTGTAGACTATATTCTACACAAGTTCCATACAAGACTGACATGGTACTAACATTTTTAAAATTATAAATCCCTGTCATGAATCTGTTTACTTTAAATTAATGAATAAAAATGAACCATATCATCATTCTATAAAAAAAGTAAACAAAATATGCTTTTATACCATTACTCAGTTCTCTACAATATTATTCCAATTCTTAGAATGCAAATCAAACCAATCCTTATCGTTCCAGTAAATCAATCATAACCCCTTGCCTTCACATTTCCTTGTAATATACTACTACTGAAATCTATATTATTATAGCAAAAAAATTACATATTAGCTACACATAAACAACCCATCACTGAATCTTCACCCACATACCAGAACTTGGTATACCAGCATGCACAACAAACAACAGATAGTAACCTGGTGGTGCAATCTCAGCTGCTGAAGGCCCTATTGCAGATACCCTATACTCCTCTGACCCAACACAGTATAGTTCACTCGTCTTCAGCACCACCATTCTTTGGTTCATACCAAACGAATGCGTCGTAAACGACGGTGCAACAATTCTCACCGATACAACACTCAGTTTCAGGAACCTCAGCACCGTGAAAGTAACCCAAAATGACTGCATATACCTGAAACTCTCATTGATATTCATAATTCTGGGGCGTATTGGGTCGTACTCGGGTCTCAAGTAGGGCGGTGAATAGGCTTCCAAGCTCAGGTCTGTCGGGTATTGTACCCCAGTGAAGTTGTAGTATGGATGTGGGTTGCTTCCTCCAACTAAAACACGACCATCAGTTAGCAAAACAGCACTCGAATGGTACATTCTTGGCCTTGTCGCAGGGGACATGACTGAAAACCGGATGTCCTCAACCCCATGGGGCTTGTAAATCACCGGTCGGGTAACCGGGTTTTGCCCAATTTCCCAACCCGCAGTACCTGATCCGGCACCATTGATGATGACCACGTCACCAGTGGGAAGAAGTATCATGTCACTCATCACACGAGGCATCGGCATGTCCTCCATGGCCCAACTGGGATTTTCATCCGTGACCTTTATGCGTCCACATGAGCGACTCGCAGCATCAAAGATCCCTTGTTTAGCCCTGGAGAACGCACCACGGGGTGCACCGCCGCATACCATAACCTCAGCCTCAATGGGCTCGTTTTCATCTATGGGGAGCAACACGGATGAACCTGAGCTAGGGTAGTTTCGAGGATCATCGACGGTTATTGAAGGGAACTCTCTAACAACACGATTTTGCTTGTAATCTAGAGATATAGCTCTTGTGTTGGCAAAAATAAACAAGTTTCCGTCTGGCAATAGGTGTACAAATGGGTACAAGTTGTTCTCATCATCATCTCTAGTCTCTCTGAGAAATTCAAGCCAGAAAGAATATGAAGATTCAGAGTTTCTAGGGTAGAACTCGTAGTTAAACTGTCTCCTTCCACCGATGATGATAATCCGACCATCTGGTAGTCTTTGATTTGTTGCATACCATCTACGCTCCGATAGATAACCGGGAAACTCAACCCAATCACAGGACTCATCATTGCACGGGGCTAACGTGCGCACTACATGATCACCATCATTGTAGCCTCCGGTCTGGACTAGCGTTCCATCGGGGAGGACAGAACCAGAGGAGCACCACGTATCAGTCTCTACCATTAGTGGCCGAAAAGTGTTAGTGCCTGTGTCATAGAGTAGAGAGTGAGCAGTGCAGTCATTTTTTAGGACATTATCGGAAGGGTCATACCGGCAGCGGCCATAGGGGAGAGAGAGATTAGAGGGGAGTCCTATCAAACATGACAACCTTGTTGTTATGTAGTAGTTGCATGTGCATAGCAGATATGCCAATGCTTGCGCGCAAGAGACACCATTCGCCTTCACGGCCAATTTGACACATGGCCGGAAATGGATTGAGGAGGAGGAGGAGGATAAATAACAATGCTAGTAGAAAGAAGGTGACCATTTTGGTGAGAGAAAGCAGTGTGTATGTGGGTAGGGAGAGGGAAAATAGGGTTTTGGAATTCTGTTGTTGAGTTCTTGGTTAGAGATGAGTAGGGTTGATGGTGGGAATGGGTATTGATATGAGTTTCTATGTGTATATTATATACTTAATAATTGTTATATTTAATTAAACTAATAAATAATAAGGGTTATAACAAGTAGAAGTTTTCAAGTAAAGATTTAAGAACACTTGGGGGATGAGCATCAGACAAGGGAGGCATTCAAGAATTGCATCAGAGGTCAAAAGAAGTGAACCCAAAATTGAGGGTCACTTCCTTTCGGAGTGTAGAAAATATAGGGAAGTGAAGCTTGGAGTGCTACTCTTAAGCTTTTGGACTCATGGAATTTGTGTGAAAATCATGTAGGCCCCTCTCGAAACAATAGTTAAATTCCATAAATATATATATATATATAAAACAATTTTGTTTCTATTTCATTCAATTTCCCCTCTTTTTCTTTTTTCTCCACAAATTTAAGATCTAAACACAACCTTAAGGGGTCAACTGAGGAACTCCAAGGATTTTAGACATTAACTGCTCCAACACTCTCAACTATACACACACACATATATATATTCAAGCCAAATACGATGAATGGACATTGAGTAGAAAGCATATATATAGAAAGCAAACTTTTTCATGTATGATGCTTTAGCACCTATATATGAGAGGAAACCAGTCTCCACTCTCCAGTTACACCACCAGCACAACTTCCTTGGCATGGCATCAAAAGCAAGGGACAAAATTTGCCACACTAATAACTCTATAAAAATGACATATTAACACAAATAAAGGGGCAAAAAGTATAGGATAAAAAACAGGAAATTAAAAAGCAAAAATAAACAGGGATCATAAATCTTGAAGGTTCAACCTAGTTCCTTCTACCTCTGCTCTGCCTAGAGGCAACTACTATCCTTCCACCTTCTACATTCGATTGGAACTCTGAAGTGTCGACTTCTGAATCATAGTCCCCTAAGCGATCATCATCGTTGCCCATCACTGACAGCATGATGCATAATGAGGAAGCAAACAAAAAATTATAAAAGCACAAACAAAGTATAATATACAACAATAGTGATATCTTCCATCCAACAAGCATGTTGAGCAAATTTCAACTAGAAAATTTTCATCATGGTGATTGGTAATATTATAAGAAGATGACATAAATCTAGGCTTGTAGCTACTACAAATTCTTAAAATGGTGTTTCTTCAAACGAAAAAATATAAAAGCACAAAAGAAGTATAATATACAACAATAGTGATATCTTCCATCCAACAAGCATGTTGAGCAAATTTCAACTAGAAAATTTTCATCATGGTGACTGGTAATATTATAAGAAGATGACATAAATCTGGGCTTGTAGCTACTACAAATTCTTAAAATGGTGTTTCTTCCTTAAAATAAGGTATTACAGAGAAATGATTCTCCCATACTGCAGAAGAGTCTTTTCACCACCAAGCTTAGCAAAAAGTTTCTACCAGCTTTTTGCATTTAACATGATTCATGTTGTTACATGAAACATAACTAAATTCTACTAGAAATGCTAGGTACCATGAAAAGTTGCCCCCAAACGAGTTGTATGGTGTAGATTTAAAGTGGGTGGAATGTGAGTCACACCTAGAATGATTGTGATATTCATAGATGTATTTGTCCGGGTAATTTTCTGATATTTTTTTATGGGTTTGTGGTATTGTTGAATTTCTTCATGCAAGCAACTACTACATAATATATGTTGCTATATATTGTAGTGCAAAAACCTTTTGAGTATGACAGGTTACATAATGACATTTGAATGAAATCTTTTATCCTACCTTCTTTTCCTTATTCATTCATAATTTATTATCCTTATATATGACATACAAAAAATATATTTAATTTATATAGTTTGTACGTGTCCCTCACATGCCGTGTCTACATTGTTTGAAAATTTCCATATTAGCATGTCCATGTAGTGTCCATGCCCGTGCCCATGCTTCTTAGCTACTAAAAGGTACTATCAAATGATGCCAATCTATAATAATTGTTCCACTATGTTTATTTCATTTGGAAATATTTCATCATTCCCTCATCCAAATAAACAGAACAAACATGAAAAACAGCTCAAACAGCTCAGCAGAAATAGTGAATTACACTCATTTATTGGGTATAAAACATTTTCAGTCAAGGAAACACTATAATTACCTGTCAGATATGAGGAATAGCACCTGTCAGAGGATTCGTTTCCTTTAGTATTTGAATTGACTTATAGTTACCTTCCAAAACACTCTTCATGCATAATCATTCATTTCTCTGCTATCTTTTAGAAAGAACTCTGCCAAACAACCAATTAGCAAAGGTCGCAAAACTGAAAACAAATGCATATAATTTGCAAAGGATACAAATTGGGAAGGAAAGATATAAATGAGCAAGAAATATGTTTGGGGGGGGAGAGTTGAAATCAATTGGCTAACAAATATGTGAGGCCATTACTACTTGTTATCATCATAATAGAATGAATGTGGAAAATATAATTTGCCTTTGTTCATTAATGTATACACAGCTTAACCTCTTCTTCAGCATGAATGTGGAAAATATAATTTTCCTCTGTTCATTAATGGTATACACAGCTTAACCACTTCTTCATCAATTATATCATTATCATCTATAAGCCAATACATATTTGGAGTACATTGAGTTCAATACTATAAGAAATCCGGATGACAGAAATTTTGATCTTTGACCCATTCGAACTACATTTCTTGCATTATTATTTTTATGACCAATAAACAAAAATAATGAAGGAGGAAACAGGAACAATTACACTAATACACTTAAGACCACTCGACCTGCAACCAGTGGCATAGCTAGAATCTTAGTTCACCAGGGTCATATTTAACAAGTATCATCAATATCATTATGTTGGATTTAAGTTCTACACAATCTATATCAAAATCAATTTTCATATAATCCATTTTAATTTTATATATTTTTAATCACATCAACAAAGGTAATTTAAATTTCTCAAATTACATATTAAACTTAAAGTTGGGACATTGATACTATTGCTTCAACAAAAATTAAGCAAAGATCTACACTAATACAATTGTTCACAATGAGTTTTATTTTTTGAAATCATTATTCGATAACCTTATTGCATATGCTATCAAACACATATTTTCAATCTATATAGTCAAATAATCATTCATTCAACCATCACTCTGAATCCAAAAAAAAAAAAGAACCATCACTCATTCGGTTACATATTTTATTTAAATTGCATCGCAACTAAAGATCTTTTCACAGTTGTAGTTGTTACTGGTGGAATCAATGACAATTGTACTTGTTATTTTCACTGCACATTTAAAATAAAAAATAAAAAAAAATCAAAATTTGTATTCTAATATGCATTGTGTAATTTTACAAAATAAAAACAAATTATAGAGCATATTGATAATGCAATAGAATAAGAATAACAATTTTTTTGTTTCTCTAATCTCACTGGGTTCAATTTGTAAAATCTCAAATACTTTTGATAAATTTTTACCTTTGTTTTAAGAAAATTTGAAAATTGAGTGGTGACACCACTCATTGTCAGGAGCCGCATGAAAAAGCTAACAACTCCAAACATAGCTAAATAAAAGCAACATTCAGATTTCCCTAGCAACCTGGATGAGGAGATAATTCACCAACTCTCCTGCCCCTTGTACATGCAACACCAATCAATCATGTGCTCTATGGGTTGTCGATCCTCTCAACAATACCTCAATTTTGTTCTTAAGAATGATTACCACCAACCAACATTGAAAAAATAATTAAAACTGATACCCAAAAATGTCAATGAGACAAAGCCAAAGAGTTAATTGAATTACTATGACTAGCTTTTGAGGGGTACTTCTAACGCATTGAATTAAAAAGAAAAAGAAAAAGAAAAAGAAAAACCCATCAAACATTTTAGCTGAAACAATCAAAAAAATACCTTGGGATTGGCTGAGGGAAGAGTCAGGGCCACCACAATAGTTCTCGAAGGCCATCTGAAGGGCAGTCCACGCTGAGAGAAGCAAACCGATGCCTTGATGAAGATGAGCAGCGTTCTCTGTTGAAAGTTGGGTCACCTTTTACGGGATGATGATCCATTGGAAACTCTCTCTCTCTCCTCTCTCTCTCTCTCTCTCTCCAAAATTGTAGCCTTTTAGTTTTCAGGCAGTTGCATAGGATAAGCTGAGGAATTTGGGTCAGGGTGTCCTGGAGACCTGAAAATCCGGAAAAACAAATCAACCAACAAAAGTAGGATTAATTACCCGTAAGTCAGAAATTGTACTCCATTTAATCTCATAATTTTTTATTTTATGTAGATCCAAAATTTTATTTTATTTTTTTTTCCTTTCTCTTTCTCGTTTTTTATATATATTTGTCGGCGACCATCATCGATTGAGTTCACCGATAATCACCAACTGTTTACTTTACTCTTGTTGACAGCAAAAGAGATGAATTTCTGATAATATTTTTAACGTAGATCTACTTAAATTTGGCCAAGATTACAAGACAAGACTTACATAACGTTCAGATTTAGAGCAATCTGAGTAAATCTACATTACATCCGGCCAGACTTAAACCAAAAATTGTTGTCATAATACAATCCTCTCATTTTGTCTCTCTTTCAATCTCTCAATTTTTCTTTTTTTTTTTCTTTTTTTTTTCTGCTACACACTTCTCTTTTCTTATTTTAATGGAGAAAATTTTCAAATTCTAAATAAATATTTTGAGTTTTAGTTACAGGTGATAAAAACCAAAAAAATTTACAATTCCGAAGATACATTTATGCTGTTCTATATGATTTTAGCCTTTTTTTTAACTTTATTAAAACAACAACAAAAATTTAGCAAATATTAACAAACAGAAAAGTTACAAACTCTTAGAAACTATTGATCTGAGATCGCCACTATCGTCGCAACGTCAAATTGTGTTTTAATAAATTACAAATGAGCAAATTGATAATTTTTGCAGTTTTAAAACTGCAAATTTATTCAGTTTGATGAGAAATAAATTCAAACTCTAAATTTTTACAATTTTGTAAACTGAAAATTATGTGCTCTGTATGATAGATAATTTTTTTCGTGTTTTTTAGTGTTGAGAAAGATGTGGTTAAATTTTATTATGTTTTCGCTTTAATTTTTCCCTTTCTTTTTTTTTTTCCTTCCAGCGATGTTCTGGACTATTCGACGAATTTTTGGTGATGTTGAACATTCTAGTAAGACTCCGGTGTCGTAACATGTGCAGCGTCCTAAAATTTTAACCAAAAATAAAATAACCAAAAATAAAATTAAATTAAAAAGATTTTTTTGTAACAGTTAAAAATATGCAGGATTAACTGGTGCAAATATTTTGTTTTGAAACCAAATGAGTTTTGAACTATGCAAAGAGGACCCACAAGTTAGTGCCCCATAAAATTATATTCAAATTTGGGTCTAACAAATTAACAACTCTACAGCCTTTTATTTGCACATTACACATTAAATCTCAAGTTTGATCATGGTAACAAAATAATTTTTAATTTTATCAATTTAAACTCTAAATTTTTTATTTGTTTTCAACTAAACCATTTGCTTATTTCCGTTAATTAAAATTGACGAAAAAATAGTATAAATTGAAAAATTAAAAAATTATTTTATTACAATGATCAAACCTTGAAATTTTTTTTGCAATTTTCCCGATAATATTTGTAGTGTGCAAGCGAAAAGAATTACTCATCAACTTCCTTTCCCCATCTCTTTTCAAGGTAATCATTGAGTAGTTTTAAAATATCATATATATTTACAATATTTCAAACCAATCAGTTAAAAAAAAAATTAATAGACATACTTTTATTTGGTAATTGAAAAATAAATTATAACGAACTTAGTATGTTATAGTTTCTTATTAAACAAAATACCATCAAATGTAAACGGTGTCACTTTTCCTCCTTTCACTCTCAACTTTCTTTTCCCCATCTCTTTCCAAGGTAAATTATTAAGTAGTTCTAGAACACTATATTACCCACATGATACTCTAAACCAATTATACAATTAAAATTTTTATGGATGGACATGTTAGCTCACTTTTGTTTGATAGTTAAAAAACAATTAATGACTAACTTAGTATGTTATAGTTTCTCATTATCCAAAACACCATGTAAACAATGTCACTTACCTACTCTCACTTCCTTATTCCCTTTTCAAATCACCCAAGTACCCACACCACCGCAAATTGGTCCGCTGCCAACACTACCACTACTATCTTATTTGGTGTAGTCTATTTGTACTAATAACTTTTTTTTAATTGAAAAGTTTTGTGTCAAACTATTTGATGCAATAAAAGCGGCTCAAGCCTATTTGAAGCCCAAGGAAAAAAATCGTAATTATTGTGATCATTATTGTGATCAGTGATAATAGTTATGGTAATGATTGGTGTCATTGTGTGGAAAGTTAGTGAAAGCATTCTCTATATTTGAACAGTGAAATTTCATTATATAGAGACATTTTTATTTTTATATAACCAATAGATTTTGATTTTTTTTCAATCTGCTTCATACGCATTTTAAAAATATATTTAGGAACCTTCATAATTAATTTTATGATTTTTGGAATGCATCAATTTTTTCTTTTCTTTTCTTTTCTTTTTTTGTCAATTTTGGATGTTGTTGGTTTGCTTTTTGTATTTAAAATCATAACAAAATTAAAAATTAGAAGTGCTATGATTATTGT